GCAATTTATATCCTACACCCGGATGTACCTGTACATCCGGTATTTTTGTAAATATACCAACTTCAAGTCTCTGAGTCAGCATATTCTTTCCCGCAAATCATCTTTCGTCTTCTGCAGTCTTCCGCTTTTCGTCTTCGGCTGCCTTCCTCTTTTCCTTCTTTTCTTCCGCCGCCTTCCTCTTCCTTTCTTTCTTCCGCCGTCATCAATTCTGATTGTTACGTTTACTTTTTGTTTTGTTTTCTTTACTTTTTTTGGTGGTTCTGATTGTTACGTTTTTTGTCTTTTTGTTTTTTAGTTTCTTTACTTTTTTTAGTGGTTGATTTCACTCTTTTTCTTTTACTTTCTTTACTTATTTTCTTTGGTTTTATTTTTTACTTCTTTTCCTTTCTTTATTTGTTTTACCTCTTTCTCTTTTTCATGAGTATATTATACCGAGCACATTAAAAATGAGTTTTACCTTAAATTGAAATGTGTAAAACACTTTAAAAAAAATGAACATACACAAATGAATTTTTGAATTTTTGAATACTCATTTTGTAAATTATGTATGCTCATTTAATATCTCTGTTATGCTCATTTTAAAAATGTTTTAGCAATGCACATTTCAAAAATCTCATATTACATTAGATTTATATAAGAGTTGATCATAAACACGAGGCCACAAATCATGATACTCAATCGCAAATTCTAATACTCAATCACGGGGATGTGATGTTCAACGAATAAAACTTACAATTTTCATATCAATGCTCATCTTGTAAGTTACACATGCTCATTTGTATAGGTCTGATGCTCATTATTAATTTATGAATGCTCATATAATAGAAATCATGATTTTCATCAATCTCAATAGAGGAGTTTTGAAGCTGAATGAAAATGTTGTGATTTTCAACCAACAAAGCAACTAACAAATTCATTAATACTCATGTTGTAAGTTACATATGCTCATCTGATACTGATCTTATGCTCATTTTCTAAATGTCATATCAATGCATTTTTATACGTATTATTTTATGATAGACTCCTAATACTCAACATAATAGGTTTGATGTTCATTAAAAGTTTATTATTACTCATTCACAAGAAACTATGATTTTCATCTCAATAGCAGATGTTTGATGCTCAATTAAAATGTCGACTCCTAATACTCAAAAGAATAGGTCGGGTGCTCATTAAAAGTTTATTATTACTCATTCTCCAGAAGTCGTGATTTTCATCTCAATAGTGGAGGTTTGATGCTCAATTAAAATGTCATGATGTTCAACTAACAATCATTACAATTTTCATATCAATGTGCACTTTGTAAGTTATGTATGCTCATTTGATACTGATGTTATGCTCATTTTTAAAATGTCATATCAATGCATATTTCAAAAGTATCATATTACATTAGACTCGCATATTGAAATTAATAGGAGTGAATTTTAGATATAAATTAATAAGTTTTTATAGCAGGAAAAAAAAAGAATTGGAAGATATGAAGCAAAAATTGTGATACTCATTATTAGCCTCATAATACTCAATACAATATGTGAGATGCTCAACAAAACTACATTATTGCTCATTTAGCGGGAGCCATGATTTTTCGCTTAAATTACAAAACTGCCACCGAAAAAAATAGGATGTTGTAATTGAATGGACTGACTTTCTTAATTGGGCCTGTTTTGTGGGCCTTCCGTTGGATTCATTTAATTCTATTCAATCTGGGATATCAAAATTGGGCTGAAGTTTAAAAAAATTAAAAAAAAACACCGGATGTACGGTTGTCACCCGTACACCCGGGTGTACGATATACGTACTCGAATATAAGTATCTTTCGTTTGCTTAATTTTAGAATTTAATTTCATCGTTGAATGCACTTTTGACCTATATTTTGTCAAAACATATTTCTTAATTATTTGGATGGAAGAAAAAATCTAAATATGGGAAGATTATAATAGTAAAAGTTGGGCCATTTGGACCAACTATATTTTCCAATACTACTTTAAAATTTTCCAAGTTTATTCATAGCCCCTCGATTCCTTATCCAATTTTTCTTTTTATTCTCTTCATTATTTCGAGAACTTAATTATTTTTTTATCTGAAATAGTTAATCTCGGATTCTTGTTAATTTTCTCTAAATTCAAAATACAATAAAAAGGTTTTCAGTTTATTATTTCACGTGTTGAACATATAAACATGTAAGAAATCGCTCTAAGTTCGACTAAAACAAGCAAAATACATAATATCATTCGTTCTTTAATTCTTGCAACAATTTGACGTTCAATAACATTTTATACGTAATAATTTGATTATGTATATAAGTAGAAAACTGTGGTCAAAGTAAGATTTGTGAATAGTGCAAAAATCACAATGTTGCAAGAATTAAAGAACGGAGAAAGTATATAAGACTATAATGTTTTATCACAAAGTTGAACTTATTAGTAAAAAATATTAGGCGGGCTAGAAAGCTATCTGCCGCCTAGGGTTCAACCAAGGGCGTTTTCCGGTGATTGACTGC